CCTACGAGTATTTATTAGAATCCGATTATAAATATTGCAGCTTTTTTTTTAGTTTTTCTTAGACCACAAGTTTTTAGACTACAAGTGTGTGTTGTAATTGATTATAATACTGTGATGATTTTAGGTTTATTCAGCACCCCTATGGACGACTGCCTCATCGCTGAATGTGCCACCCTGTTATAAATAAAGTTCACTCATTCACTACTGACGGACAACAAACCTCTTTCGAGCATGTTTGATCCCTTGTCCAGTAAGGTCCTGCCACTGAGTATTCAAAGTTTTCGCCTAGAGACTACATCAGTACAGTTTCAATATTCAACATATTTCAGGAAAGGCTAACACAGCAGATTCACTATCTCAATCACCTTTAATGTGTGATAACAGCTTCAATAGTGGTACTGTTTGTGAGAACAATGTGCAATTTGTGTACACTCATAAACCCACCCTGGCTTCTTGTGCTACTGGGTACCTGATTAGCACACCCATGGCTTACAAGACTGATCACTTGGGAGGGTAGTGCTTCTCTCAATTGACTTATTTTATGGATGACTTGGTAGAATTCCAATCAAACTTCGACTTCAGGTAAGTCTCATTTCATTTTTGATTTATTTTTAAAAAGTATTTCATTGTTTGCAAAGAATAAGCATGACAGAGTTACGAGTACTCTGTGTACTGTGGTCCCATTCCTTGCTTGTCAAAGTGAAGAACAACTGCTTTACATTAAATGATCCAAAAGAGTTGCCACCATAAGAAATTTCTTCACACTTAGACCCTGTTATCATACAGACAAATCACACTGAACTGAGTGGATTTATTTGATAGCTGGTTGTTGCTAAGGAGTTCCATCTGGTTGCAACATCACTCACTAGTTTATGTTTGGGCAACTCTAATAATTGTAGTTGCAACACAGCATCTGTGGAAATAATCTACCACTAGTATTTTTGCAGGAAGATTGAATACTGAACTGATTTGTAAGGCTTTACTACGTGTTGGTTCCAAATATCAACAATTTACTAGTCAAAGTTTTAAAGGGGTGTAATTAACAAAGGAAAGACCTCTAAATAAATACAAATCTTTCTTCCCTGAATGATGATCTTCAACATAAACTTCCACAATAGCAACTCCAACGCTCAAGTATGTGTGCACATAATTCTAAAGCTAGAGAAAACAAATGTGACAACTCAATACTCAAAGTTGCATTCAATATGTTTCTGTACTTCAATCTTCACATACAACTGTCCAAAAAAAGTAGAAATTGAGCAATCAAAACTGTTCAGTTCTTGAAGGTCGTCTTAAGAGCAACTCCATGCAAATATCGACCAAAGTGCGGCAAGGCTCAAACAA